CCTCCCTCCTCCTCCTCCTCTCTCTCTCTCTCTCTCTCTCTCTCTCTCTCTCTCTCTCTCTCTCTCTCTCTCTCTTTCTTTCTCTTTTCATTTTCTAAATTTCTAAATAACGTTTTTTCTTCCGAATTTGTACATACTTCACGTCGTCTTTCTATACGTTTTCTTTAAGAATTCATCATCATTATATTATCATATTATATTATCATTATATTACCATATTATTTTAACTTCGTATTATTATATTATCATATTATTATATTATCATATTATCTTAACTTTGTATTATTTCACGTCTCGTAATTCAATTTGCAACAATTTATACAATACATATTCTGTATTTGTGCCTTTAATCACTTAGGAAATTATGCATCTCAGAACGTATAAATACCATCGTGGCAACAATAATAATAATAATAATTTGCTCGATTCTAATCTCGAGATTTTGTGATAATATTCGCGCGCCGTAATGTCATATAAGTATTCAAAAGAGTACGAGGTGTCGGACAGTTTTTTGCTTTCTAAATGGCCATCCCTAATCTAGCACACGAGCACACCGCCGGGATCGCGGGTGAGCTCTCTCGCTCTGGAATCGCGGCGAACATCACGCAAGCGCGGCATTATGCCGGGACGATCAAGAACCGACGGAACACTTATCCCGCAAACGCTTATTGATTGTGACGCGCGCCCCGTCTCGTGTCTCGCTCTCTCGCACCGACCTCCCCTCAACCGTCAACGCTTCCACCCCTTCCCCCCCTCCCGCCGCGCGATGGTGCGCACGTGACGAAACTGTCAATCACGGGTAGATAATTAAGGTTTTAATCTCGATTTCACGAACTTCTCCGCGACTCTAGTTTCGTTACCCGAGAACGATGAGCTTTTTCACAGATGAAGGAACGAAAATTTCGTTTGGGAGAAACGTGGCGCATCGCGAATACATCCCGAAGAAATCAAACGGCGGCTTTGGCCACGCATCGCGAGTACTCGATCAGCGATTTAACTCGCGTGTCACGCGATTCTCGGCACGTTGCGTGCCGTCCGCAGTAAGAACAAAATAGAACTTCACGGTACGTGCATAGTCAGGATCTCCTCTAGGTAGAACCAAAATGTACAGCATGTACGTTGAATTCTCATATAAATTCTCTCGGTATTCCCGAATGAGATCGCGAAGATAACGATCAAATTAATAATACCAGACAATACTGCACGATCTTAACGGAAAGTGGATGGATCTAAGTGAATGGCTTAAGTGCATTACAAAATGCTGATTCAGATTGTATCGTCAGACCAGATGTGATCATCTTCATTAGTCATCATGACATCGTAATGTCGTAATTCGACATCGATCAAAAGCAAATAATTTAGAATATTTCCAACGTATTTTTTTCGACGCGTGTTGCAACATAAAGTGTTTCGACAATTACACGCTATTGTTGGAAGAAATCGAAGGAAGAAATCTGTTTTCTCGGTTGTAAAAATTATAATGGCGTTCGATTTAACAATAAGAACGCACATCGCGCGCGACGGCGGTGGCGGTGGAGGCGGCGAAACGGACGCGTGACGATTAGACAAAACGATCCGCGGCATCGAGAACGTGGGAGAGGGGGAGGATGATGCATCGGAATGAGAGAAACGGGAATAACTTCCCGTTCAGGGGCGCCTTTACTGCCCCAGTTCCGGGTGCTCGTGTCGCGCGCGGGGAGGGAGGTGGGATAACGGGGATGTAACGGGGCGCCGGGACGCTCGCCCGCGACTTGCGCGGGAGCTCGTGGGGTGTCCAGGTCGTCGTCGCCGCGGCTGCCACCGCCGCCGCCGCCACCACCGCCGCCGCCACCACCGCCGCGACTAAGACCCCGGCGAGCAAATTAACAATCGTTACGTACACGTAGATATCGGTAAGCGTCACTTTCGCGCCCTTCCGCCTCCTTCCACCCAACAAGCAGATCTCGCACCTCCGGGCGCTGCGCCCTCGTATTCTCGATATTTTCTCTCCCACGTCCCCACCTTCCTCGTCCATCCGACGAATTACCCTAGAGCTTCTGTGCGGGTGATCCGCTCGGCGTCGCTCGTACAACGAGGAGCGAGGCTGCCGCATGCGGCATGCGCATGTGCGCCGAGTATAGACCCGCGCGCGTTCCGCCAGTCGACGGGTGAAACGCACCGGCGGCTCACATATATGCGCTATGCTCTATTTATGTATACGGGATGTCCCAGAAAAACCTGTGTACGCGTCATCCTCCCGACGATTCTCGGGGCCGATCTCAGATCGGCGTAAATCCCGGCGAGAGAGAGAGAGATGTCTCGCAGCGCGTTTACTCTTGAAAAGTAAACGTGCGAGGAGCCGGCTGATTAAAATAAAGATCTGCATGAGATAGAACTAAAATTTACATTTAATTTTAAAAAATCTCTATCGAAATATCTTGTATCTTTACGTCATAGTTCCCCGAAATCCTTAAATCTAAAATAAACCAAAGTTCTAAGTTTTCCAAGCGGCATATCAATCTGACAGATACTTTTATTATTTCACAGTTAAATAGAATTAAATTATTCTAATTACGTTGCCAAAATATTAAAAAAATGACTCAAGAACATATGTTTTACTTTAAGAAGTGTTAAGAAAATATATAATTTTAATGTACATATATTTGCCATGAAAAAAACAATTCGAAACGAAGAATTACGCTAAGCTGCCAGATATATTTGGGACACCCTGTATGAATTTGTGTCATTATTATTGCCTATTAAATTATCTTGCACACGTCGTTCGTGCGACCCCTCCCACGCCCTTCCCCTCGATCCCCCGTGCGCGCACGAATGCACTCGCGGCTCCCAGCCGGGCCACCACGTCGCGGACTCGCATGTGCGCCCTGCTTCGCTATCTATCTCCCTATATCCCTCTCCGGCTCGATAGCCCGCCACCACTGCTGCTCTCCGAGCGGTAGCACGTCAATAACCCGTTGCCGCCTTGGCCGCGGCACGATACGTACGTATATATACGTACGTATAGCGCGCATCTCCCGCAAAGACGGCGCGGCCCGTCACGGGGCACGGGGCACGCCGGGATGCCCCGATATAATTAATCCCCTCACGCGAAGCGTCGTGATTGGCAATCCGAACTGGTATCTTCGCGAGTATACCGGACGTAAGCCGGGAAAACTTCTCGTCGATATCGTTCTGATATCGACGATTTATATATAAGAATTCACCAGAGAATTACAGTACGTCGAGATGCTGGATCCGATTTACTGTTGTTGCAAATGATTTCTCTTATATCACGAAAGTACGGTCCTGCAAAATTCAGACATTCCTCGTGATACATGAAAATGGATTCGAGAGGAAAAATCGCGGGGAAGGGGGAGACTCGCAGAGGTACTGAAACGCGCAATATTTTTTACGCAGCGCTGCAGGGATGATGCGGAACGAGCGAGCGAAAAATTCTGACAGCCGGAAATTGCTAACGTAGCGAATTATTGAACCGTGACTCGCGCATACAAACAGAAAAAAAAAAGATAAAAAGAGAGAGGGAAAGAGAGAGAGAAAGGGTGAGGATATAGTGAATGCGGGCGCGACGCGGCGATGAAAGTGCGACAAAGAGAGAAACAATGGGCGGTGGAAAATGCATTCGAAAGTCGCCCGGCCGTGCGTACGTGAAATATATCCAGACGTGCACAGCGGCATAAATTGGCAAACGCGATTTATCGAAAACGCGACTGCTCACGCATTCGACGGATTTGTGCATTTCGTCGTAAACGTAATAAAAAGGTAATACATTTGCTTGCTGAAATATATGCGGGATAATCCGCAGGAATCCACCATCACGATGGATTCCTCAACATAGAGTTTCTGAATTTCAGAATTGTTAATAGCGCGGTGTACTACGGCAACTCACCTGCAATATTGTGTTGGTGATGATTATAAGTAAGAGGAACGGAGTGCAGTGCTCTGGCCGACCATTTCCGGTGCCTGGAGTCCTCGTCGTCGTCATCAGCCTGTTGACCATCCTCGCCTAGAAAGTGGACTTTCTCGTACCTGTCCAGATACCTAGAAATGTACATCAAAATGCTTTAGTGTTTCATGCAAATACATAAATTTGCATTTCGTCCAAATCTATTTTTTTTATAATTCTCATTTTTTTATACGCTTTCAAAAAATTTAATCCTTTCTAAGAATTCCAAAGATAGACGTAAATAAGAACAAAATATTCATTGATTGTTTTTTATTTATGAAAATCATTTAAGACCTAAATAAGATAATATTATACTATCAAGTCATAAAAAAAAAGAATTAAAAGTCTCAGTGTGAAAATCAGCTGAATCAAATAAAAGGATCAATCACGGCGATCGAGATTGCTCTCGCTTAGAATTGGTTGGCCTTTCTGGAGAACCGGTCGTCTCGCAACGATAGCAACACGTGGTACGAAGCTCTAGTCGGAGAATGCACAACTCAGAAAGAAGTTCTTCGAGACGACCGAGAGACCAACCAACTGACCGACCGACCATTGGTCGTCGAAGTGCGACGAACTCGTGCGATATTCGCGCGAACAGGGTAGATGTAAAAGATAGTGGATATATGAAAGAGAAAGAGACGGAGGGGCACGGAGGAAATCATGAGGCGTCGAAGAAGGGGGAGAGAGAGAGAGAGAGAGAGAGAGAGAGAGAGAGAGAGAGAGAGAGAGAGAGGAGAGAGAGAGAGGGAGAGAGAGAGAGAGAGAGAGAGAGAGAGA